TAGAACCGATGTCAGTTGCGTGATCTGTGTTTGTAGCTGGGCTAGATCGGTGCTTTGGTTTTGGTTATTCGACATATTGTAAGAGTTACCACTACAGATTATCGACATGAAATATTTGACTTCCTTGAACCAGGAAAAACTATTTTGATATTAAATTGATGTCTGACTCTTATGTTTAATATCTCATTGAAGTCAAGAGAGGGGCTAATGCAGAATCACTCTGCAGTGTTGTAAACTTACCGACAGAATTTGAAAATCATGAATTAGCAGTAATAAACATTCCCCTCCTCCTTTCTTCTTACTCCTTTAAATAATAAAATCTTATTACAATCCTTCCCTCCCAACTGAGAATGTAATAAACTATAAAAATTTCATTATGAAAGCAAATAAATGCAAAACATAAATGGAAGAAAAACATAACCGAATCTAAATAATTAGTTTTAATTAAACTTCTAAATGTGAACCTTTAATTAAGCTTCTAAAAACGTAACTTCCAAAAGCGCCTTTTGCTGATTTTGAATTTGGATTTTTCGTCCTTCTTGATTTGCCTCTACTTCGAAATCCTCCTCTATAATTTTCTCTGGAACTTTTAAAAACTCATTTTGTTAATTTTGAATTTTGAATTTTAATTTATCGTCCTTCCTGATTTGCCTCCGCTTTGAAATCTTCCATAATTTCCTCTGGATTTGTTGCTTCGAGATTCTCCTCCATAATTTCCTCCGGATTTGCATCACGGCTACATTGGAGTCTAAAGGTCTTCGTGTGAGTAGTAGTAGTTCTAGTTGCAGGGTTGTGAATATGGGTGATCAAATCATTAAAAGGTGTGTTCGCTTTAGATATCTTGGGTCTATTGTTCAAAGCGATGGTGATATAGATGAGGATGCTATTAGTAGAATTCAAGTTGGTTGGTTGAAGTGGAAGTGCATTGGGACTATTGTGCAATAGAAAAATACCGCTTAGACTAAAAGAAAAATCTTATAAGATGGTGAGACCTGCAATGCTCTTTGGTGTAGAATGTTGGCCTTTAAAGAGAAGCATAAGATAAAGTTAAATGTTGCTGAGATGAGAATGCATGCTTAGGTGGATGAGTGGCTTGACACTTAGAGGCAAAAAGAGAAATGATTATATATATGTGATAGGGTTGGTGTTGTTCCAGTGGCGTACAAGATACAACAAAGTCGTCTTCGATGGTTTGATCAAATTAAATATCGACCATCTGATGTTCCTGTTAGAAGAGTAGATGTTTTAGATTCCACTTATATGAAGAAAGGCAGAGGTCGACCTAAAATAATTTGGGCAATATTGTCTAAAAAATGATCTTAATCTGTAAGAAATAAATGAAAGTATGACACTCAATAGTTCGCAATGGAGAAAAAGAATTCATGTAGTCAACCCCACTTAATGGAATAAAGGCTTTATTTTTATTTATTCCATAATTTATCAATGTAGGCAATTTTGGAATGCACATCAATTTCTCCCCCATTGCATGCGTTATGCGTCGACAACAAGTATTAACAATGATGATGATGATGATGAATGAGAATGAAAATCATGATGTTGATAAACAAGTAAAATATCAAGATTTAAGTTTT